ACAGTTGGGGATGCCTTGGGACGATCCACAGAATTGTGCTTCCGGCGGGCGCGGAGGCCCGCCCTCTCGCGCCGAGCATGCGCGACCCGCGGCCACCCACGGGAGGAGGCGCGTTCCTATTTTTGAGAAATGACCGTGGGAGGGGGCGGGAGCGAGTTAGCTCACCTGACGCGTACCCTGCGACGCGCGGGGCCGAGGCTCTCCGCAGAGCCGGTGTGTCTGCAGGCCGCGCTCAGCCAGGCTGAGTGCAGCTGCAGACGCTCAGCGCGAGCTGGGGAAAGCGCTTATCTCCTAGGGTCCCCTGCGCTGCTGGCGCTCTCCGAAGCAACCTTGGCAAAACCAGGAGCCTTGTTGAGAATACAAACAGGTACTCTGCAATACCCGCGAAGAAATTCATCCCTAACTGCAGCTCGATCCTGACTGTCGCAAAGACCGCGTGCAAACCCTCACGCCATTACTGTCTGTATTTGAGCCAGAGCGCCGACGCGCATGGCCACCTCTGTTCCCCCGCCCATCACCATCTGCCTTCATTTCTAGGATGAGCTCACCCTCCTTTCCCATCCCTGCACTGACAAGCACCTGGGGGTGGTGCCTGAAAATCCTTTCGCGAAACTACGTAGCAGCCCACGCAAGCAGACCTGGTAGGTGGGACGAATAGGCACCTGGTAATCGGTTTTGCATTTTGGTGACTTCCCTTTTTCTTTTTGACCCCTTCCCCTTTTTTAGAGTGAGCGTTGTGACACCAGAGGTCCCAAGGGAACAAATCTGAAAGCCAGAGCCTCCTGAATACACAGACCGTCAGGGGGTGAGATGACATTAGACACTGTCCCCAAATGAAAGAAGAATCACTTCCTTCAGATAGAGGCTGTGAGACTGAAATAATATGACAGTTCTCCTCCCTGTCTTCCTTGGAAAGGAGTTTGTCCATCTCTGCTCAGGAATTCTCTTTGATGGCGGAAAAAAAATATGCAACCTGATTGTTGAATTAGCAAATGCTACCATTGTTACAAACTTGTAGTGAGGATAACCCCTACAATTTTATGTCTGTTAGGGGTCAGGCAACATACTGCTATGTGCTTTACATTCATAATCTAAATTCCTCTAAAATAGCCATTTTTTTTCTGTTTTTATAAATTAGCAAATTTTAAAACTGCAAGCTTAGTTTCAATGTTAAACTTTAAACTTTCTAAGTTTATACACCTAATAAATTGCAAAAGACAAAAGTAAAACAAACAGGAAAACTGCCTAGCAACATAAATCTAATTCAAACCCTGTACTTTAAATTTTCTCTGAGATAGTAATTTAATAAGAGCTAAAAATTTATTTGGAAGAGGTAACCCCATGAAATGACAAAATCAAAACACTTTAAAGGATAAGGTTAGGGTGTGTGCATATTTAAAAACTATAAGGCCCAGTCTCTGTGGCACAGTGGTAGCTTGGGAGACTACAGTGTTAGAAGCCACATGGCCCACTGCAGTTTGAATCCCTGATTTTGTCAACCTCAAACATGCCAAGCAGGAGTACCGGGTATCCTGGTGAGCTGGAGATTTGGGGGACTGGAAATCACAGCATGACCAGATCCTGTTGGGAGATGCTTCTCTTTCTCGAGCATGCATGCCACACACACTATCACACACATATATGCATATATATATATATATATATATATATATCATATATTCATTTATACAAGGGGCTGGCCTCATAATGCAGTAGTAAAGCATGGTGTAGAGGGAACCAGATTCCACATGGCTGCCCACAGTTTGAATTCCACCTTGTCAGCTTCATGATGGGTACACACATGCCCACAATCTTGATGGAATACGAAAATAGAGAACAGAGGGTTGCAGCATGACCAAGCCCTGTTGAGAAGCCCCCCCTCCCCCATCCTTACTTGTGCATATGCATCCTCTGGCATTAAAAAGAAAGAGATGGAAAGTGAGAAAGCAAGCCACCAGATCTGGGACTAAAACCGTGGTTGGCCATGTGGTAGTACAGTGCCCTTAGCCACCATGTCACCTGCTGGACCCCATAACATAAATTTAAAAAAATTAATGAGGCAGGGAACAGCAGGTGGCATGGTGGTTAAGGCACTGGACACTCCCACATGACCAACCACAGTTCGAGTCTCAGACCTGGTGGCTTGCTTTCTCGCTTTCCCTCTCTCTCTCTGTCTCTCTCTGGTCAAATTAAAATATGTGAATGAATAAATAAATAATTCTTTTAAAAAAATTAACGAGGGGATCAGCAGATAACATAATGGTTACATCTCTAGATTCCCATGAAGCTGACCACGGTTCGAGTCCCAGACCCAGTGGCCTAAAACTCACAACAGGCACATGTGCGTGCTTGCCCAAAATCCTAAGAGAACAGAGGAGAAGGGATTGCAGTGTGGCCATCCCCCCCTGAGGGTGATTTCTCACTTTCTGTCTCTCTGTCTCTGGTGAGTGCATGTGCCCAATAGCAAAAACCTCTCTACACACACACCAAAAAATGATGAGAAACTATGTTTGGGTAGATTAGACTGGTAGACAGTATGCTAGACTGAATTTTTAGAGAGGGAGCTAGACTTTTTAGAAGAATAGGAAAATTGAGGCAAGGACAATGCTCATAAAAAACGGAGGCTATCAGTGCATGCCAATAATGGCAGTCTCAAAATAGGCCCTTCACTGGATCTCTGGGGTGATTCCAAGTTGAGTCATTGCCTGGGAAGCTTTTGGGGACATGATTTGACAGAACTAGAAGGGTGGGGTTACTATAGAAAAGACCTTTAGGTTTTGTGGCCCTACTGAGTCAAACTGGTTTTTATTAAGAATATCGGGGCTAGCTGGTAGTGTGGTGGTTAAGGTGACTGGATCCCACATGGCCAGCTACACAGCATGGTCCAGACCTGGCAACTTAAGAAATACTCTGGGTGCTTGTGCATGCCCAAAATCCTGAAAGAAGGGAGTTGGAGGAGAAGGAGCTGCAGTATGACCATTCTCTATGGGGGTGCTCTCTCAGTTTCCCTCTGTCTCTCTCCAGTGAGCTCACATACCTTCTGGCAACATTTTTAAAAGAAAAAAAGAGATGGCATGGTGATTAAGGGTGCTGGACTCCCACATGGCCAACTGTGGTTCATATCCTGGACCTGGCAGCTTACTTTCTCACTCTGTCTCTCTCTATCCCTCTCTGGTCAAATTTAAAGAAAGAAAGAGAGAGAGAGAGCAAGTTAAATAAAATAATTATTTTTTAAAAAGAGAGAGAGGAAGAAAGTTAAATAAAATAATTATTAAAAAAGAAAAGAAAGAGAACTTCATGTGCCCTTACTCTGAGAACCAGGGTGACCTGTCTAGTGTGTTTGAGATTAAGAGGGTTTCTGCATGTAGAACTTTTAATGCTAAGACAAAGCCTCAGGCAAATCACAGGGAAATGGTCACCCTACTAAGGACATCCTAAAAGAATCCTAAAATCAGAGTTAGCAATATGGTTATATCTAGTCTCAATTTGTCTGCTTAACACCTGGGTATGATTGATTGTACAAGAGAAAAAAACTGTTGGATGAAGAAATCAAGGCTGACCATAACAGGTCTGCATGCTCCAGAATAAATGCTACTGTTCATTCTCTTTCCCGTAGTGTGGTATAAACCAAGTGCCTATGGCTATATCTTTTGGACTTAGTATTTTCATTTAGTAAATCCTTAGGAGACTTCCTGTGCCTGGGCCCTAAAATCAAATTGCTATTTTCCCATGTATCTATCATTCATGTTCATTTCCATCAATCTCTAAATCAACTAGGTTCTTCCATAATAGAGCAGAGTGAACATATGCTTTTCATCCCAGGAAAGCTTTATGTAATCACTGGCAGCACAAAATACCATATTTGGCCCACAGTAGGAGCTTAATAAATAATTCATTATGTATAATATTAATCAGGAAATTATTACAAATTTTTGGTATACTTTCTGGGCCTTCCCTCTTTGTTAATATCAAGATACTAAAAAGATGACTTTATTGTAGAAAGTTTTGGGTTTTATTTGTGTTTGTCTGTGTGTGTGTGTGTGTGTGTGTGTGTGTGCAGCACCTCTTAAAACAGATATAGCAGTTCTTCCCCATGGTACTGAATTTTCTATTTTTGTTATTGGATGGGAGTATGGTTAGTCTGCTCCGCAGCTGAGGTCAATGTACTGGACCCCTGGTGAAAGGAAGGAATTCTTTAGATTAGGTGGTCTCAAATTTCACTATATGTAATTCACTTGGACAACTTGGCAAAATGCAGATTCTTGGTTCCCATCCTTAGAAGGCTCCCATTCATCTGCTCTAGGTTTTGGTCCAGGCATCTGCATTTTTTTAGAGGTTTTTGCCTTAGAGGACAGGTGCTCATTATAAAGGGAGACAGAATCTGCAAGAGGGAAAGTGAGAAATCACCCCCCAAAGGGGGATGGCCATGCTGCAATCCTTTCTCTCCATTCTCCTCCCAGGATCTTGGGCACATGGGCACACATGCACGCACGCCCAGCGTGAGTTTCAAGCTGCCAGTTCTGGGACTTGAACAGCGAGCATACATGTGGGAGTCCAGTGACATAACTGCTACATCATCTACTTGCCCCCAGGCATCTGCATTTTTAATAAGCATCTGTTCATGAAGATACAAGAATTTGTCTGTCTGCAAAGTAGGAAGAATGCCCTCATCAGAAACAGAATCTGTTGGCAACCTGATCTTGGACTCCCCAGCTTCCAAAACTGTAAGAAATAAATTTCTGTTTTCCTAGCCAGTCAGTCTATAAACAAACCAACCTCTGAGATGAGGCAATAGATAGTTTTGTACCACATTTTGAGAAACTCTACCCTCAGTGAGTAAAGTTTTTAGATGTATTTTTTTCCCCTCAAAAATCTCTACCATCCCAGCCCAAAAGACCTATCTGAAGCATTCAGTGATTTGAGGTACATCAAGAAATTAAAGCAAAGGTGCTTCATGATAAAATTCAGAATAAAATCCCTTTGGAAGAAAAATCTGAAATCTTTAGATAAGCAAGCAAGGTAAACCTGACCCTATTCATTGCTCATTAGAAATAACTTAATTGGGGTCAGCAGGTAGCATGGTGGTTAAGGTGCTGGACTCCCACATGGCCGACGGCAGTTTGAGTCCCCACCCTGGTAGCTGGCTTTCTTACTTCTCCTCCCCCCATCTCTATCTGGTCAAATTAAAAGATAATAGTAATAATAAATAAAATTAAATAAATAATTCTTAGAAAAGAAATAATTCACTTGAGAGTGATTTAGAACAGAACTTCAACAAATAGGTTAAATTTTTATATAGCAGCAATTATGTAAATGTAATAGTCACTTGGTAACCTTGGTTCTTTTTAAAATATTTCAGTGAGAAAGAATAGTCTTAATTATTATTTTGACAAAGTAAATTAAATAGAGTGGTGAGGAAAAGAACAGTACAGTTAATATAAAGCTGTACCTGAAGTCATGAGAACACTGAGAAAAACCAAGATTAAATGCTCAAAGCTCAAGTCAAAAAAATAAGATGGAATTAAAGCAAAAATAATGGGAAATTAAAATTTTAACAGATTGAAAAAATTGGAGTGATGAATTGATAGTTCCATTCTATGAAAGGCACAGAGAGCTAACGACAACAAGAAAGTTCAGACATAGTGTTTGAACTACTAATTTACTTTCCAAATTTTTATGTTTTAAATTTTACATGTAACGGTCATAAACATAATGAGTTAAATGCAGTTTTCTCATGTTATGAGGATAACACTAATCCACCAGCAATGTTACATTTCTGCATCACCCCTTTTCTCAAGCAGTACTGCCAATCTGTGTTATTTTTAATAACTTTTGCTACCAAAATAATATTTCCTAGAACTTAAATATTTAGTTAAAATCTGTAGTATTTTGTGGTTTAGTTTCAGTACAGTATTGAAAATATACAGTTCTAGTACTATCTGTGGAAGATCAGGATTGATCAAAAGTAGATAATTGCTTCAGAAAATATCTACCCTTGTCTCACGAGCAACCGTTTTAAGTATAGATGGAGGAGCGACCTTTGAGATTAATTTGGGACTTTCATCAATGCCTACCCCTCCATTTTTTCTTTTTTTTTTTTTTTAATGGACGAGGGGGTAGGAAGGATTGGGTAAGAAAACCAGATACAAATTTATTAGCCAAAATAGAAAAAACAGTAGTTGAAATGTTAGTTCTCAAGTCCTGTAACAACAGATTGATAAATGATGCATAAAACAAGACCAGATGCTGTAGTTTCCAGGATGCACTTGGCTTCCCATCCTTTATAACCTGGAGCAGTTTTGGCTCTAAGTAGGTCACTTGCTTGCTCTCATTTACCTGATTCTAGGAAAATGTCCTTGAAAATATTTGGAAAATAATATGAATCGGTGCTTAGCATTTTAAGAACAATGATTGTATAAAATTCCCCCCACCCCTGTTTCTTTATTAGCCAGTAACCTTGAAGCATATGTGAAACTAAAATGGACAAGAATTTGAGATTTTTCATTTTCTGAGCATAATGCACCAAACCCTGTGTCCATAAGCATGGTATATTATAATAGTTCTCATAATATATTGTGCTTAGCACTGGCATAGCACTCAACTGTTAGAATTATTGTTGGGGTCTGTATACTCCTATCAGATGTGAATTTCATTTTTCTTTTTTTTTAAGAGAGATTTTTGCTATAGGGCACTTGCACTCACCAGAGAGACAGAGAGACAGAAAATGGGAAATCACCCCCCCATGGGGAATAGCCACACTGCAGTCCCTTCTTCTCCATTCTCCTCTTGAGACTCTGGACGCACACACACGTACTGGTGTAGAGTTTCAAGCCTCTGAGTCCAGGACTTGAACTGCAGTCGACAATGTGGGAGTCCAGTGATGTAACCATTATGCAATCTGCTGGTCCCAAGATGTAAATTTCTTGAAAAAGAAGATGCCTATGACATAGGAGGTGAGTTGCAAGTATTTTAATTAATTGATTTCCTCCCCCCAAATTTTATGTATCTAATAGGGCTTTTCAGGTCCTATTCCTATAGGTTTAATATGATTATGGGAAGAGACAAAGAAGAAAGACAAATGGTTCAAAGATAGGATGTGTAGCACCAACCATATTATGGAGCACAATTATATTAATTATTGCCCTGTTATGAGAGATCTGCTCCTGACATGTGCATCAGAAACAAGTCCATTCAGGGCAAGTCTTGGTCTCTTAGGGTTTAAGAATGTGGACTTTACAGATCTGTGTTTCAATTTGAGATCAGCTCTGTTTTAATTTTATAACTGTAGTCAAGTGACTTGGACTCATAAGTCTCAGTTTCCTCACATTTAATGTGGGGACAGTAATGGTACACATGCCATGGATTTACACTGAGAATTAAGCAAGACAATGCATATAAAGAAAGCATTGGCCTCAATGTCTAGCACTTAGCAAGTGCTCTATTAACATGCCACTCTAATACCCCAGATGATATTTTTGTTATACTATGAAGTGGTACTCTCTTATCCTCAGAAGTCAGTAGAGACAATGATTCTTTTGTAACTGCTTTAGGTTTGCATGAGGATTTGACCTCTTAAGGTTTCATCCATACCTTTTTTTTTTAATAATTATTTTTTTAAATTTATGTATTCATTCTTTTATTTTTATTTATTTATTTATTTATTTGGAGAGGTTTTCGCTATAGGGCACGTGCGCTTGCCAGACAGAGAGAGACAGAGAGACAGAAAGCGAGAAATCACCCCCCAGGAGGATGATCACGCCGCAATCCCTGCTCCTCCATTCTCCTCTCGGGATCTTGGGCACGCACGCACACACGCCCGGCGTGAGTTTTAAGCCACTGGGTCCGGGACACAAACCGCAGTTGACTATGTGGGAGTCCAGTGACATAGCCATTACGCTAACTGCTGGTTCCCTATTCATTCTTTTATTTTAATTTGACCAGACACACACACACAAGCACACACACACACACACACACACACACACAGAGAGAGAGAGAGAGAGAGGGAAAGTGAGAAAGCAAGCTATCAGGTCCAGGACTCAAACCGCTGTTGGCCATGTGGGAGTGTCCAGCACCTTAATCGCCATGCCACCTGCTGGTCCCATCCATAGTTTCTTGTCTGAAGTGTTTGTCTTCTCTGACTTGTGGAGAGGCTATCCCCCTCTGTCCCTTACAGCTTGGTTCCCAACCTTAATATATCCCTCTGATAGCATCTTACTGATCAGTACTATGTGAACCTGCTACTGTAAAACCTGTAAGATTCTATCCTATGACCTGAAGATCATTAAAATAACTGTGGATATTTCTCAGTTCACTTAAGACTATCATAAAGGATGGCTATTATTTCCATTTAATAACAGACATTTATTGACCTTACAGTCATTGTTCTTGTGGAATTCAAAAGACTAAAAATATCTAAAATACAATTCTTCACAGTGCTGTTTTTTTTGTTTTTTTTTTAAGCTAGGGGTTTGTTCCATATTTTATCTCTATTCATTATTTGCTTGAAGAAAACTTGCTTGCTTAGGTTACTATGTGGGTTTTACACAAGAAAAAAGAAATGACTTCAGTAGATGAAAGTGAGATGCTGAAAAAGTCTTGAGATTTAGAAGTCAATAATTTGCTTATCTTATCTTTTTTCTGAAAAATTATTTTTATTACCCTCAGAAACTAGCATAACATCAGAGCTGTTATTCTTCATATAAAATTTATTTGAACACAAGATATTTTAAAAAAATATTTATTACATGCAACTCAGAACATTCCCAATATCGAGGGAGCTTTACTAAGCAAAAAGAAATGATATATCCAATACAGAAATTGAATGCATTTCTTCCAAAGGCAAAGGCAGAGCAAAATTGTCTGATTTTAGGTATTTTTTAAATCATTTTTAGAATTATTTTATAAATTTTACTCATTACTATTATTTTTTAATTTGACTGGTGGGAGAGACTGAGAAAGTGAGAAAGCAAGCTGCCAGGTCTGGAACTGGAACTGTGATTGGCTATGTGGAAGTCCAGTGCCTTAACCACCATTCTCCCTGTTGACCCCCTGATTTTAGATAATTAAGAATGAAAGATCAAGGTTGGCCCTATAGCGTAGTGGTTAAGGGAGCCAGATCCCATGTGGTCATCTGCGTGGTTTAAATCCTGGCCCCAGCGGCCTGTAAAGTGTGCCAGGCACCTGTATGTGAGTGCCCAAGATCCCAGCAGGATAGAGGTGGAAGAAAAGAGATTGTACCTTAACCTTTCCCCAGTAGGGATACTTTCTCCTTCCTCTTTTGTCCTGTTTGTCTGTCTCTCTCTGGCAAGAGCACACACCCTCTGCACAATTAAGAAAAGAAAAAAAGAATGGAATGTCCAGGAAGCCTCCTCCTTTCACTTCAAGGGGCCCAGCAGTAGAGCACTAGCAAACCAAGGCTAAAATCTCGCCTTCCATCCCTTTTATTTTTATTGTTTCTGGAACCACAAAAAAAAAAGAAGAAAGAAAGGGTAAGAAAAGGAAAAAAGCTTGTAACTGGAGTTGCAGAAGTTCAGGAAACAAATTAAGTATACAAAATTGGCAGGATTGAAAGCCCTATTCAACTTCAAAATAGTGTACCTGGTCATATTTCACAAACCTTTCTACTGTCTGGCCTGTTGCTTTTGTTCCAATACCAGCACCATTGTGAGAGCTGTGAATGCCCAAGACCCAGTGCCAGAGGCAGGCCCACACCCATTTCTTTACATCTTCCGAGTTCTCAGGTTATGAGGGATCAGAAAAGAGTATAGTAATGGAAAAGGAGACAAAGAGGCTGGCTGTTCAACAGTGTTTTCTTCCCCAAAGGTGTTTGTAAAAAGCAGAAAGATGCTAATGATTCTTAGCTGTCTAAAAGCAGCTTTAGAGTTCGGTCTTGTACTGTGTCCCACCTTCCCCCATTCCGATCTATCCATCATGTAATCCTCCTTAGGCTAGATAAATGGCTTTCTACAGTTTGTCATCATGTTGTCCTCACAGGCTAGTATTCAATAGCGCTCCACCCTCCATCTCTTCCTTGGGGCGCTTGGAAAGAAGCAGTTAAGGTGAATGGTGTCTACCGCCATGAAATACAATGATTGTGTCTTGTTTTATTTTGTTTTGTTTTCATGAATAATATATTTCTTCAGCTTGGTGAGTCATAAGGATCTCCAGCACTTGAACTCATACACACATGGCACTTGGCATATGATACTGGGGCTGGGCCTATAGAACTTGATTTTAACTATTATCCCCAATTTCTGTCTTTATACCCAATACAGAAAAGTATTGCCAAGCATAAAGTGTCAAGTAGGTGAAAAAATACTGCCTCGAACTGCTTCTGTGGCCTGCTGGTTACCGCAGTTGGATCCACATGGCTAACCATGTGGTTTGAGGCCCAGACTCAGCAGCTCAGGAACTACGAGGGGAGTATGTGTGCACTCCAAATCCCCATGAGATGGAGAAATGGAGAAGGGATTACAGTACAACCATTCTCCATAGGGGGTGCTTTCTCCTTCTCTTTCTGTGTCTCTGTCTCTGGTGATCACTCATATGCACTGGCAAAATTTTTCAAAATATATAAAATAAATATATGCCAAAATAGTTCAAAGCATGCAAGATGCAGATTATTTACTATTTCATTCAGGACTTAACACACTATATTATTTACTATTATTAATATAATAGAATAATATTCCATCATATATACAATGTGTTTTATACAGTATATAATATGTCATATATATTACACAATATTTATATAATATAAAATGAAAACCTATACATTCAAATATACTATTATAATACTATTTAAGTAAATATTAGGTTGTTGGAAAAGTCATATTTTTCTGATTTTCTATGCAAAAATACGTCATGACTTTTCCAACAACCCAGTATGAAAATAATATTCTGTATATATTCTATCATACTATTACAATACTATTTAGATAATATAGTATGATAAATTTTATTTAATTTATCTACTTATTTAATATTAAAATACTGTTTTATCCCATATATACACAGTATTTGAGAAATGCTATATTATGACAGTATTAAACTATAGGGTCCAGCACTGTGACTTATATCAAAGATAACCTTTCTGGTTTCTGCCTCTGAAAATGAGATAGTTTAATCGACTTTGTAATTCCATGATTCTGTAATTCCCTTTGATATGAGTGTGAGAGAGCTTTTGTTGGATTTGCTTCCCCTTTGGAACTCATCAAACAAATGGTAAATTTGCACTCTAGGTTTGGGAGTATTTTTTTAAATATTCAGAAGTTATAAAGATTTCCAATAAGACTGGTACAGTAATGCCTTATCAACTACTGTTTTGCCAACCAAGATTTTGTCATAATGTGGTATTATATTTGTATGCCTAAATTCTAAAATTGATGATCTCTATGTATGTATGGTTGAGTTTAGTTCCTTTAAATCAAACAACTTAACTATAGTTCAGTTCATCCCCACATTTGCCCCAGCCTGTGCTTAGTTGTATGGGATGGTGAAGAGAGAGTAGATCTGCTATTCTTCGCACTCCACTTTCTACCCTCTATGTGAGTGGCAATAACAGGAGAGCTGGTAGAGCAAAAAAATCATGCCCTTTTTTGTGGAAGAACCAGCTGGCTATTGAGTATGTTGACAAAACTTACAAAAATGATAACCAGTAAGAAAGTAAATACAAGACACCTTGTATACCAATAGAGTAAGGGATAAATAAAAAAAAAAGTTTTAAAAATGTGCATTTAAATGTGGCATGTTGGTTAAAGCACTGGACACTCCCACGTGGCAGACCATGGTTTTAAGTCCTGGGCCTGGTGGCTTGCTTTCTCACTTTATCTCTCTCTCTGGCTCTCTCTGGTCAAATTAAAATAAATGAATGAATCAATAAAATTAAATAAAATAATTTTTTAAATGTGCGTTTAATATAAAATAAGCCCTGTCTTTCACAGCAGGCCATGGCTTTCAGAATATGAGCTCATGAACAACAGAGGAAAAAGAGTATTCTCTGCTTTATTGCTAAGTTGATCATTTAATTCTTTTGTGAATTCTCTATTTCCTTGAACTTGCCAATGAAGCTTAAGAGATTACTATAATAAATTTTGAAAAGATTTACATAAATACTCATGAATCATGGTTTTTTTAAAATAATTGTTTTATTTTATTTATAAGTATTATTCTTCAATTTGCCCAGAGAACAACAGACAGAGAGAGAGAAAGTAAGCTGCCAGGTCCAGGACTTGAACTGTGGTTGGCCATGTAGGAGTCCAGCGCCTCAAACACCACACCACCTACCGGCCCCGTGAATCATGTTTTTTAAAGGTTTATTATTTATTTCTTCCCTGACAGAGAGAGAAGGAGCACCCCGAACAGTCTTGGTGACACAATCCACCCCCAGCTTCAACTGACCCTAAATCACGGGCACGTGCGTGCTGGCATACTTAGGGAGTTCTCTGGACATGAACCCAGGACCTTCCCGGGTAGGTCAGCTTCACAAAACATTGCTTTTCAGTGCTGTGCCATCATCTGGCCGCCCACAAATCGTGTTTTAATGGAAAGTTTGCTAAAGAGGAAGAGCCAGGAGGTAAGGACATAGAATCCTCTCTACATGTGTGCTGATTTACTACTTTTATCAAGAGAACAAACATTTTACCTTTTTTTTTTTTTTTTTTTTTTTTTCCAGTGTCATTCTAGAAAATAAATTCAACAGTAAGAAATTGTATACTGGGGCCAGCAGGTGGCATGGTGGTAAATGCACTGGACTCCTACCAACAAGTCATACTGCGCAGTTCAAGTCCTGGACCTGGTGGCTTGAAACTCACTCTGGGTGGGTGTACATGCATGCCCAAAATCCTGAGAGGAGAAAGGACAACAAGGGATTGTGGCATGGCCATTGTCTCTGGGGGTAAGGGCAGGTGACTTCTTGTGTTCCTTCTCTCTGTCTCTGTCTTTCTCTCTCTGGTGAGCATATATTGCTTATAGCAAAAACGTTATTTAAAAAAAGAGACTCTGGGACCAGCAGTTAGCATAATGGCTATGTCGCTGGACTCCCACGTAGTCGACTGCGGTTCGTGTCTCAGACCTGGTGGCTTAAAACTCACGCCAGGCGCGTGTGCGTGCGTGCCCACGATCCCGAGAGGAGAATGGAGGAGAAGGGATTGAGACCTGGCCATCCGCCCGGGGGCTGATTTCTCACTTTCTATCTCTCTGTCTCTCTCTGTCTGTCTGGTGAGCACACGCGCCCTGTAGCAAAAACCTCTCAAAAAAAAAAAAAAGAAAGAATCTGCATAGCTGTTCTCCATAATCCAATTTATTGTTAATTCCCTTGCCTATGAACATACGAGTGGTATGTGGGCTTATAATGCCTGTCTCTAATAGAAGTAACAAACCATCATCAAGAAAGGTAAGACAGGGGCAGGCAGGTGACAAGGTAGTTGAGATGCTGTCCTCCCACATGGCTGACCATGGTTTGTGACCTGAACCTGAGGCTTGCTTTCTCACTTTCTCTCTCTCTCTCTTTCTCGCTTTACCTCTCTGTCTCTCGCTGGTCAAATTAAAATAATAATAATAATGGTGGATAAAATTAAGTAATTCTTAAAAAGAAAAGAAAGGTAAGACAATAATCCAATGCATGCTTCAAAATATAAGAGTGGATCTTGAATGTGGACAACAGAAAGTAATGATAAATGTGCCAGATGGCAGATATGTTTATTGCCCTGATTTTATTATTATTATTTTTTTATAGGGCATGTGTGCTCACCAGAAAGACAGAGAGAGACAGAGACAGAAAACGAGAAATCACCCCCCAGGGAGGATGACCATGCCACAATCCCTTCTTCTCCATTCTCCTCTCGGGATCTTGGGCACGCACGCACACGTGCCCGTCATGAGTTTAAGCCACTGGGTCTAGGACTTGAACCATGGTCAACTACAAGGGAGTCCAGTGACATAGCCATTATGGCAACTGCTGGTCCCATGCCCTGATTTTATTATCACACAATCCACACATATTTTGAAAAACCATCCTGTATTCCATCATTGTTATAGCTATGATATATATATATATATATATTTCAGAAATGATAATTTAGAAACAAAAAAAATAAAAAAGACAAGACACATGCCATCTTTTTCTTTGAGAACACATCTGCTTCAGTGTCACAGAAATGGTTGGGGGGACCAGCAGGTGGCTTGGTGGTTAAGGCGCTGGACACTCTCACATGGGTGACTGCAGTTTGAGTCCTGGATCTGGTGGCTTCCTTTCTCATATTCTCTCTCTCTCTCTCTCTAACTCTCTCTGGTCAAATTAAAGTAAATCAATGAATAAACAAAATAAAAATAAATAATTCTTTAAAAATAATAGTTGGGGGGACCAGTAGGTGGTATGGTGGTCAGGGTGCTGGACTCCCACATGGCCAACCATGGTTTGTGTCCCAGGCCTGGCAGTTTGCTTTCTTGCTTTCTCACTGTCTCTCTCTGATGGGCACAAATACCCTGTAGCAAATTAAATAATAATAATAATGATAAATAAAATTCAATCTAAAAAATAGGGACTATCTTGATGTTCCATATGTTCTTTTTCTTTTTTAAATAATTTTTTATTTTATTTTATTTGTTATTATTGTTGACCAGAGAAAGACAGACAAAGAGAAAAGAAGAGTGAGAAAGCAAGCCTCCAGGTACAGGACTTGAACCGTGGTCAGCCATGTGAGAGTCCAGCACCTTAACCATTGTGCCACTTGCTGGCCCCAGTGTTCCATATTTTCTTATGGCATAATTTCCCTCTGTCAGGAGAACTTACTTTAGTAGTTTTTTAGAGCACATCTGCTAGCAATAAATTCTATTTTCCTTCCCTGAGAATGTGTACAGTGTATTTTAACTTCATTCATGAGGGATATTTTTGCTGAATATAGAATTCTCGGTTGGCAGCACTTTACGTTATTCCACTTCATTCTATCCTCGATAGTTTCTGAAATCTATAGCTATTTGAATTGTTTTTCCCCTATAAATATATTGTTTCCCCTATAATTATGTAAGGTTTTTTTTTTCTGCCTGCTTTGCCTCTTTGCCTCAATTCTCAGCCGGTTTGTGATGTATTTAGACATGGATTTTTTTTGAGAGGTTTTTGCTGGGAGCGTGTACTCGCCGGAGAGACAGAGGGAGACAGAGAGACAGAAAACAAGAAATCACCCCCCAAGGGGGATGGCTACGCCACAATCCCTTCTTCTCCATTCTCCTCTCGGGATCTTGGGCACACACGCACACGCGCCTGGTGTGAGTTTAAGCCACCAGGTCCAGGACTCGAACCATGATCAACTACATAGGAGTTTAGTGACATAGCCATTATACCAATTGCTGGTCCCTAGACATAGATTTCTTTGAGTTTATCTTTTTTTTTAATTTTCTGAGCTTCTTGAATCTTTCATTTTTTTTCACCAAATTTTAGAAATTTTTAGTTATTTTTAAACTTTTTACTTAATTATATTTTCCCCCTCTTCTTCCAGACCTTAAATGACATGAATGTTAACTATTTTGGTATCGTCCCCATAGTCCCTGAGGTGCTGTTCATTTTTTTCCCAATACTTTTTCTGTCTGTCATATTGGATAATTCTGTTGCCTTATCTTCAAATTCACTGGCTCCTCTGTCGACTGCATTCTGTGATGGAACCCACCCATCTTTATTTCTGTTACTGTTTTGGTTCAGAATTTCAGTTTAGCCCTTTATGTCTTTTATTTCTTTGTATTCCTTTCACAATTTTATAATACCTGTTTTAAAGTCTTGACCAGATAATTCCAGCATCATCTATGTAATCTTGGCATTGGCCTTTATTAATTGTTTTTGCCCATGCAAGTTGAGATTTTCCTGGTTCTTTGTAGGTTGAATAATTTTTAATTTTATCCCAAATAATTAAAATATTATGTCATAAAACTCTGGGTTTTGTTATAATCCTATAGAGAATGTTAATAATTTTATTTCAGCAGGTAACAGACAAGTTCTAACCTTCTATGGGCTGTATATGTGTTCAATGTCAAGTGTGTTTTCAAAGAATTTGCTCTGCTATTTGAATCTATCTGTGTGTGCCATCACTATGTGGTCAGTCCAGGTTTTGAATATATTATGTATTACATAGTTTGAAAAACATTTTGGGCATGCTCAAAATCCCGATAATGGGAAAAAAATGCAACAGAATGGAGAGATGGAAAAGGAGGGATTATAGTGTGACCGCACCCCAAAACTAAAGGATTTCTCCGGGAACTCTGGCTGGGTCCTATATTGTGGTGTATCCTTCAGTTCAGTCTCGGTGTCTTCGGTATGCTATTTATGATCAGATCCATCCTTTTGAAGCTTGAGGGTATGCCTAGGAGTTTATAATTAACTTTATCAGTTACTTTCCTCTGTCCCCCTGTCTCCATAACCACTGGTACTCTTTGGTTCCTAGGACTCTTCTTTGAGTCTCACAGCCAGAAAACTAGTGCTTTTGCTTTCTTGCTCTATCATGTACTTTCTTGGACTGCACAATGTACAGAGCTAAGCAAGAGAAGGACAAAGAAGAAAAAGCAACTGGTGTATGGCCCACCCTCCTGAAAGTCCAGCTTCTTTGTAGAAGGTGTTTATGCTGTCACAGAGATGTTGGAGCTGGTTGGTCCCTACTGCCATTGCAGTCCCTGCCACTGTCTAATTAGCAAGACTTCCTGGGGCCTAGGACACTGAAGAATGGAAAACAAGAGAAAGAAAAATGGCAGAATCCCTCTCCTCCCAGTGTTAGGAGATGCTTTTCCTTCTCCTTGAGCCAAAACTAAATGGTTTCTCCTGCAACTCTGTCTATCCTGGTGTGCATTCTGAGTTTCATACTGCCCATGTCTTAGGCTAGGGAGTTCTAGTAGGGAACCACCAGAAAACTCATTGCTGATTAAGTAGTATTTTTGCTATAGGGCACGTGCACTTGACAGAGAGACAGAGAAAGAGAACAGGAGGTGAGAAATCACCCCTCAGCAGTGATGGCCACACCATAAGCCCTTTTCCTCCATTCTCCTCTTGGGATCTTGGGCATGTGTGCATACCTACCTGGTGCGAGTTTTAAGCTGCCAAGTCCAGGACTCAAACCACAGTGGACCACGTGGGAGTCCAGAGATGTAACCATTATGCCATCTGCTGATCCCACCAATCTGTCTAGGTTTTATAGCAACATTAAGTAAAAGACAAGGTGGGGTGTGCTTATTCCATCTTACTCAGAAGTAGAATGCTATATCATATTATCATAGCTGTTATGAACTGAATATTCATATCCCGTCAAAATTCCTAAGTTGAAATACCACTGCCCAAGGTAATGGTATTTATAAATGGGGATTTCAGGAGGTAATTGAGGTTAGATGAGTCTGAGAGCTGGGCCCTCATGATGGGATTAGTGCCTTTACAAGAAGAGACATCAGAGAACTCATTCTCTCTCTTCTTGTGAGGACATAGCAAGGTGCCCATCTATAAACCAGAAAGAGAGTCCTCACCAGGATCCACATCAGCTGGCACCTTAGTCCTGGATGTTCTAGTCTTTCTAAATTTCTACTATTTAATTCACTCAGTTTATGGTGTTTAGTTATGGCAGTCTGAACTAAGACAGCTACTATATTTATAAAAAAAATTAATGGCACTATATATTGTGTCATTCCTTCCCATTCATTCACTACTTTCCCCTGTAATTCCACCTGCACA